TAAGATAGAAACACTGAATCCTAGCTAAGAGATAAGATAACACTGAATCTAGCTAAGAGATAAGATAGGAACACTGAATCTAGCTAAGAGATAAGATAGGAACACTGAATTTGGCTAAGAGATAAGATAGGAACACTGAGTTAATCGCCCATTACTGCTGCTGTCCATTAAACACTGAATTAATCGCCCATTACTGCTGCTGTCCATTACTGCTGCTGTTTGCGGCAGTATTTCTTCCCAATAAAAGCATCCACAACATAAGCCCATTCCACCAAGGATTCAAGCACCGTGTTGGGAGGTTTTTCTTGGAAAGTTGAACACCTGTGATGTGCTTCAAAAAAGGAGGCCAAATAAATGCCTCTCCCCTCATGTGTGCTCTCTTTGCTTCGAAAATGGTGAATAGCTGCGACTCTGTCCCACTTATTGATCTTTTGTCCTGTTGTGCTGTTTGTTTGGGATTCTTTTTGTTTTCTTTTTGGTTACAGGTGGATCACTCCTCAGGATGTAGTGAGTCTCTTTAGCCTAAACTTCCTAAGGCAGCCAACGAAAAGAGGAAGGGTTATGTGGAATTCAACGGGAAGTATAGATCAAAAGAAGAAATTGTTGAAACCATAAAGATAAGAGTTGCTCACTAGGTAAAAACACTTGAACTCTTTCAAACCTTCTCAATGTTTGACATAATAAGGGCGTGGAATGAAGTGGCACACTCCTCTAGGAAGAAAGAAAGGTAGTGGAATGGAAGCCCCCAGCTATTAATAAAATCAAGCCGAACTTTGATGGGAGCTCAATGGAAATCCAGGATTGGCAGGCATTGGTGGTGTGTTTAGAGATTCCTCAAGCAAAGTGGTGGCAATGCATTCAGGTCCCTTGGGGGTTGGTGACTCTCTAAAGGCTGAACACTTCTACAGTGTATTCAGGTCCATTTGGAGATTGAAGGGGATTCTAAACTGAGTGATTTCTTGGTCTTCCAACAGAGTTAATGCTCCCTGGATTTACAGACATTACATAAGAGAGATTGATAGCCTTGCAAGGGAGCTCAATGCTTCTTTTGTATGGATTAGGAGGACTGCAAATGGGATGACCGACTCTTCAGCCAAACAAGGGGTCTATAGGCTGCAATTTTTTTGGGCTTTATTGTAATATTCTATAGGGCCTTGACTGCCTTCTGAAGCTTCTATAATCCTGTAAATTTGTTTCTTGTAAAATTAATTAATAAAATTCTTTTTTGCTGATAAAAAAAATGTGGAACTCCCAGACAACTTGTGAAATTGATGAAAATTCTTAAATTTATTTAATGGATTCTACATTAAGGTGCTTAAGGCAATGCTCACTTATTTTTTTGATCAACGACAAAGAAAAGATTCCATTCATTAATTGGGAGCAACAAAGTACAACAATAGGTTGTGAATTTAAATATATAAGCAGTCATTCCTCACCTCCTTACTCTTTTACATTAGAGTCCAAGAAACATGTTGTCTATTAACCCCTTGTTTAGCCAACCCATCAGCCAAGCTGTTGACTGACCTTTGTACCCATTTTGTTTCTAATTTCATGTCTTTTGAGTATCATTTGAATTCATTCTTAAATTTCTATAGCACTTTATTATCATTCGTTAGCTAACTAATTACCTCCTTCGAATCACCTTCAATAATCAATCTTTCAATTCCCATTTCTATGGTTTTCTGCAAACCAAATACTGCTGCCAACATTTTGGCCCTTGCTGAATCTCCTTCACCTATTGGACCCAAGTACAATGTATGTATGGTCCCTTCACATCCCTAACTACTCCCCCAATTCCAGAAGGCCCTAGATTCATGCTACTTCTATTAAAGTTTAACTTCAGCCACCCACTTTCTAGCGGTGTCTAATGCTTTTTAACTTTTGTTTTTTTCGATGAAGATGCTGCCAATTCCACCCCCCTTCCAATTCCTAATAGTATCATCACCATCATCATCCATACCTTATCCCAACCATATGGGGTTGGCTACATGAATCCTGTTTCACTAATCCATCTTTTCTATTTAAAGCCATATCCACTGTTAAATTATCAGTGCTTAAAATATTTTCTTACTACTTCTATTCCATGCCCTTTTAGGTCTACCCCTAGCTCTTCTAGCTCCTTCCACTTGTAACAAATCACTTCTTGTAATTGGAGCTACTGGTGGTCACATGAGTTATGAGTTATTTCTTTGTTTCCAATCCTAAGTGTATCCTGATTTACACTCCTATTATTATGAAACTTACATGTCATATGCTCTGCTTTAGTTTTTTCTTTTTTTTTTTTTTAAGTCTTCTTGCTTCTAGGGCATTTGTCAATGAGCTTAATTTTGCATTTAATCCTTTATTAGTTTCATCAATTAAAGCAA